GGCAAAACACTAAATCACAACAAACCATTTTGTTTTGGGAGATACATCAAACTTCAAGAGACCACATTCCAAGAAGAGCTAAACAAGAAATCCAACCAAAAAAACCTATCCAAAGAGTTCTTGCCTGGAAGATTAGACTAGTTCCTTTCAATAATATTTTCAAAGCACAAATCTACAAGTACTTCGATCGTGTATTGCATAATTTCACATTCCACATAGCAGAAGCAAATTAGCAGTAGACACAAAATGCCAACATAAAACTTAAAGAAATCAACTCCCCACAAAATGATTCCAATATATATCAAAGATTCATAATTTGTAACCAAGAAACACAGACACGCGCACATAGAAACATTGTATATAAGTATTCAATGCCAACATAAGAAAAACTAACCAAAATCATCACCAATCAACATAAGATCACAGAGTAACTCCACGCTGAAGAAAAAGATCAAGAAAAGGGTAAAAAAGGATACCTAGCACTAGGGGCCCTCCTCGGTACCTCAGGCTCGAACTCAACAGGCAAACCCAAGAACCCATCAAACCTATCAAATGTGACATGATTAACATGCTGGACGTCAGTAGGCCAACCAATCTCCATAGCCCCACCACCGGTTCCGCCGCCGCCACCGGCGGCAGCCCCACCGGAAAAATTGTGTCTATCCGTTTTGCAGGCCAACCAAAAACCCTTCCTAAAGAGGGTCACAAGAAGTGCTAACAGAGATAGCTGATCCCTCCTATCGTTCTCCCTTTCCTCTCGCACGCTGTTCTCTTCCTCCTCCTCTTCTTCTTCTTCTTCTAAGTCACCCACTGTCAGACTAGAAATCCCCTCTTCACCCGCAAAAGACTGAGTCTGGTTGAGAAACGCGGCATTGTGAGTGGGCGTAGATATTGAGGGAGACGACGACGAAGAAGGTGAGTGCAGCACCTCTGTCATTTTCTGTACGCTAGAGTTTGAAGAGATCAAACGCAAAGGGGATCTCTCACAGGATTTTTCCCCCTTTATAAATTGAGAAAACAGATGGGTTGTGCTTGTTTTGGTGGATTAAAGAAGAGAAATAAAGAAAATGTTGGTTCTTGGATGGAAAAGGGTAATGGGTTTTCGCTGAAATGATTTCAAGAATGATTTTTTTTTTTTTTTTT